GCGCGGATTAAATATAATTTAGATTTATGTACGTTTACAGGTATCATTGCTTACAAAATATATCAATTAATACTCAAAACAGTAAATCTACAATAGAAAGCTCAGATGACGGAAGTGCAGTCTGCAGTGACAGCTGGCGACTCAACAGTCAACAGCTGGTGAAAGTGTAATCAGTGTAGCCAACTTTTATGATGCAAAAAAACAAAATTACCCACCAGTGGCGCGGCTCCTTTTACACATAATTGCATGAATTAACTGTAAACCATCGGAGTTAGTTATTTTAAAGTAATTAACTTTCGGTTTAGTTTAAGAGGTGATTTAGAAGGTGTTAAATGGCTTAAATACAGTAGGAGGATAATATGGCGTTTTAAAATAATCACTACCTTGAGCACCTGTGGTATTTTAAACCAAAATATGGATAAAATTCAAGTTTGCCAAATGTGTTACTCCACAGAATAAAGAGTAGGCCTAGTTTGTCTACTATTTATTTTGTCTATTTGTTCTACATCCTGCAGTTCTTTGTCCATATTTTGTTCTACATCCTGCAGTTATTTTTCCATAATTGTTCAACATACTGCAGTTCTGTGTCCACATTCCTTCTAGATACTGCAGTTCTGTGTCTACATTCGTTCTACATACAGCAGTTCTGTGCCTATATTTGTTAAGTATCCTGTATATTCTGTGTCTGTGACAGTCGTGTGTCCTGTAGTTCTGCAGGAATGTGCCAGGATCAGACACGGTAGACGGCGCGGCTAGATAGGTCGGGTTCCATGACCTCTGCTTGTGTAGTATAGCCGTCGCGGCTGCGGCTACAAGATATAAAGGTGTGCGGAGGTGTATCATATATGTATCGCGGTGCTACATACTAGCAATATGCATAGTTCTATCATACACCCCTTGCTGCCTTGCTGTGATTGTAAATACGCTCAAACACTTCAGTCAGGGCCATTTCACAACGAATAACACGTTACATATCTAAGGATACTTCACAGGCTTTCAACAACTTATTCGTACTTTCTTTACAGTAACTAAATTAGAATACTGTACATTGTTTGAACAATAGATTTAAAAAGTTAATTTTAGAATGTGCTTAAAACGTTTCGTATGGTTAATCTAATTAAATACTTCTCGTACTAGACTCACACAATTTTAACTATCGAAGTTTCTTCCCCAATGTGGTTTGCAGAGCTAAAAACTACAGAACCCCGTTATCGGACACACATAACTAAGTTTACACACAGACGTAGGTGACATTTTTTCACTTTAAGCTTTGATAAAACTTTTCTCAGCGCAGCATTAACATACAACATTGGACGAGGTCATTAAAAGGCATGTGTAGCTATACAATTTTATAGACAGGAACCATCAGGCATATGTTTCGGTATTACCGCCATCGCCTGTTTTTTTTTTTTTTTTTTTAGTAGGGTCTATATAAAACACTGCATAAAATATTCCTCCGCCAGTGACCGCCTTGCCCACTGGTCCGCGTAGGCGTGAACACATCACAACGCGATCAGCTGATAACTAATAGACTTGTCGAAAACGCTCTACTTTCATAAACTGATAACATCATGATTTCTACACTTCATACGAAATAGAGAGTTTTGAATGAGAGGGAGTTATTAATTATATATAGACCGAGGTCTACAATTGCATTGATATTATTTGAGTTTAATGCAAACGTGTACATTTTGACTTTTGTAAACAAGTAAACAAAATAAATGTGGAATTAACAAGTTCACAAAAGTAATATTGTTGTATTACCTTATATTACTTCAACTAAATTATTGTAGCACAGAATGAAGGTAGAGTCTGTCCCTGGCTATTCTTTTTTCGGTGGAACTGAGACAGATAAAATAGTCTAGACGTCATTTAAATTTCGTTCGGATGTAGGCCTCACAATTTTCTTATAATCGTCGTTTAAGTAACTGATGGCTTTAAATCCCCCAGACGATACAATTATCAAGTCAGCCACAATAAAACTGGTACCTAGCCTACCTATATTAAATAATGCTCGAATAGTAATTATCTACGATCAAGAACTTTGCTAACATTCGTATAGCAAAATAAACGCTCCCTAATTGACAATAATTGTGAACATTGTTTTGATGTGGGATTTATTTTAAATAAGTTACTACGGTAAACGGTAGGCATACTCTGTTGAAATTCAAACCTTCGAGAAGAGAAGAAACTTCGAAAGCTGATTGGATATTTGCATTGTTTAATTGTAGTAAGTGGATCGATTTATTTTATAGGCCTTAGTTCAAAGTCGCAGGTTGGACAGCTAGCAGCTAGAGTCACAGAATGGTCACAGTCAAGTCACCGAGTCAGATGCTGCGCAGTGCGCACTCCGCAGGGCGCAGACCGTTACCTAAATGCCATCTGATTGTCGACCAGTGTTGCCAACCTCTGCAGGCGGCAATTTCACCGACAGTAGGAACATGTTGTGAAGTTTCTAGCCACTTTCACTGGTACATATCGAAACGAATTGAGTGGGTGGAGTGGACTGATCGAGCACACCCAGATAAGATTTTCCTGACCAACAACTGCGTTTGGCATTTGGCAAACGTATCCTCCTAAATACAAAAGGCTCACAAAAAGTAATTGAGAAAAAGTGTAGAAGTTGATAAAAAGGGGACATTAGCACTAGCTACGCAGGTTTTTAAGTGCCTTCCACGGTAAGGATAGCGACGACGCTTCGTAGATACGAACGTCCGGTTTCCTTATCACCTACTTCCGGAGTTCACTTTGTCTTTGCAGTCAAGTTGAATGCATTTAGTTTGCTATCCCTATCCAGGACAAGTGAATAAATGTTTTCAGGCGCATTTAAAGCTTTTATTTAGTTTAAGTACAGGCAAGGGAAGTCACGTATTCCCTCTGTGGTGAAAGTGAAAAACTGTTAATTTTATTAGCTTACGCTAACATAAAAAAGTAAGTAATGATTTCGATCCAAACCAACAAACATTCCCTGCTCTTAAAAACTTTTTTTTATACAAATTAAATTGTTTACCGTTGTCTGTGGTAAGGACAAATAATGAACCTTCTCTTGGAGCTATTCATTCTCCATAGGAGTTTTAACCAACACCTGACATGAAACGATAACAAAGTAAATGCAATTGTACTGTAGGCTATAACTAATCCAATGAAGTATGTAAAAACTGTTTTATGACACTTTTTTACATTGGGTTGTCTCAGTTTGAATGAATTACAAAGATTTCAATTTTTTCTGTCGATTTATATTGGTGTTACTGCAGTATAAGTTAAGAAAATGTAAACCTGTTAATTCTTTAGACAGATAATGTCATTGGGTATTTATTCCGTATAGGTGCCTCCAAACGAATTTTTAATTTTGATATCTTACCTTATAGTTTTTTACCTCCTGAATCCAAATATACCATTATTTTTCACCGCTGATGAATATTTCTCAAATATCGCCGGAAAAACATACTTAACATTACAATAAACAAGATAGAATGGTTACCTTTTCAAGTGATTCTGTAGTCAAATAACTTAATGTTCTCTATATTAGGAATTTCGTCACATTATGGAGATATAGATGGACTGGTGGACTAATTACATGTAGGTAGTTCTTATTTAGGCATGTCAGGGTGGTAGGTCGTGCTGTATGTGATTTGGTGACTGCATTAAGTGTTTTGAAGTTAGGTTAGATTAGGAAGGTAAAGTTTAGGTTATAATGCATCGAGTTGTTAGTTTATGTTGCCTGCAGACTGTTTTTTTTTGTAAAATTAAAATCCTGAGAAAAACACTTCAAATTACTTTTTTTTTAATGCTTGCATTTTTGAAATGTAATTTGAAGTGTTTTTTCTGGATTTTAATTTTACAAAAACAGTCTGCAAGCGACATTAACTAACAACTTGATACATTATAACCTAAACTTTAACTTACCTAATCTAACCTACCTTCAAAGGACTTAATGCAGTCACCAAATCACATACAGCACGACCTATCACCCTGACATGCCTTTTCTGACATCAAAAGGAGATTGCTTACACATTCTAGAGGTTTGGTTAGGTTAGGTTATGTCAGAATAGCACCATTTTATTATGTAATTTCTAAATGGCAAAATATAAATCAATAAATCATTAATAAGGATAAAATACTGGTAACAATAATACATTATTAACTTATTGGTCTTAGGAAGTGAAAAGTGTAACTTAATCATGTGATTTTCATATTGCAGAATCAGAGTTAGCAATTAAAGTTGTCAATTCCATTTGCTTGACTATGATTGAAAACAATCAGCTGTTGGTTTACTTAACCCATAGTTTATTCCACTTGTAAATGTCATCCATCCTACCTTGTTTATTGTAATGTTGTATATTATTACGGCAATATCTTGAGAAATATTCATCAGCTGTGAAAAATAATGGTATATTTGGATTCAGGAGGTAAAAAACTATAAAGTAAGATATCAAAATTAAAAATTCGTTTGGAGGCACCTATACGGAATAATTACCTGTCATTGAAACAAACAAAACCAGCATTCTGGACACTCTGGTGTGCAAGATAATAGGGGTATTCCCAGCCCTGTTGGTCCTACTACAGTCAGTAGTTGAGGGCATTTACCACAAGTAAAATGAATAGCCAAGATCTTATTGTTGGTTTGTTTACAACGTTTATGAAACTACGGTAAAAACTGTAGGTCTAGTACCCTCTGCGCTTTTTAAGGATTCCAAAGGTAATTGACATAACGCTGGTTTTGGTTTTATCTTTGATATCACTAGAAAACTTAAAGACAATAATGGGGAGCTTAAGGGAAATTGCTATCTTACATTGGTTTTTACAAGATATAACTTAACCTCCAAAATAGGCCTACTAGCTTACAATAACAATACATTAAAATATATAAAGATCTAAATGAAGATGATAAATTACTAATTGAGTCTTATACCATACCTAATTAGTTTGAACACTTATGTGCAATACTTTATTTTGCATCGAGCATGACGTAAGTATTAAGTACAAATTTAGTTTCTTACCTTGATCAGCAACAGAACAAATAATCCCAAAAGTGAACATAACCAAAACACAATAACAAACACCAAAAACACTTGTCCGAAAACGACCCATCGTCGCTACACATTATTTAACTGGGTTGTCGAATTAGACCACATAATATACTTTGCACTAATTAATCAAACAGAACAAAATTTCCACAATTGTCACACCATTCTGTCACGAAAAAGACAGACGACAACTTCGAATCGCCCAAACACACTCGCTCGCCTCCGACTGTTGAATTCTGAATTGTTGTGATTCTGAGAAATAAGAGGGGAGAGGCAGTCGGCGGAGAAAGGAAGCCGACATTCCCCTCGTTTCATTGTACTACGAACGTTGCACACATTAGTGCTACCTATCGGTGCCAGTTATAAACTACTAGCTCAGGGGAGCGGCATCCAAACTGGAAAACATATCAGCTGTTCACAAAGAGGAACAAACGGTACAAACATTCTCAACGGTGATATCGTTGATTAATTGTCTTCTCAGATGGAGATGTATAATCAATGTTGATTTTTAGTAAATGAAAATAATAAGTACATAGATTACCTTAAATTATTGAGATTCCACTGAAATTTCAAAACGTTAAAACTTTTGCCCATGACTAAACAAACTAAGCTTTGATTTTGAAAAAATGGTTAAATTTCCCTGTTTTTTAGTAGTGATTTCTATATACTGTACCCCAATGCATGTATAGGGTATCACGATTTAATTTTAGGGTTAATTAGTTTAGTTTTTATATTACCCCACCGAGTCTGCAAAAATATTGTCAAACACATATAGGTTACCTGTTTACAATATATACACATATAGGTTACAAACAGGTTTCCGGAATTATTTTCCTTTAAAAAGGGCAGCGAAAAGTGGAATTTGTAAACTATTTGAATCTGTGCTCTTACTTATTACTACAATGTTTAAAAGAATTGTTCACAATGTAGTAAATAAAAGTGTAATAAATGCCTTAAAATAACGTTTACCACAGATTATACATGGGTTACAAGCATCTTATTCAGTTAGTTGTAATTTTCTATTCTGTGCTCTCTGGTTATAATAATTCTTTTTATAGAGTAAATAAATTATAGAATAAATTAAATAACATTACAAAATTTAAATTTGTGTTAGACTGGATTCTGGAACAATAATATATAAGTTTTAGTTTAGTAACAGTTTAATTATTTATTTTGAATAAACATATATGCCAAGGAATCTCGAAGTACTACTGTATTCGTACAAATAGTTGGTCAACCTGGAATCGAATCTGTCTCCTCAGTCCTCCTTGTGTGATTGTCAAATTCTTGTTGCTGTTTGATCCACTTGTTTTCCTGGGAGGTTATGCGTTATTTATATTAATTATATTTGGAACTTAATTAAGTTATTGTCTATTTACCTATATAAAAAGTTGTGTTTTGTACTCCGGACAGTTTGCTCACGATGCCTAAAGTCAGGCGTAGCAAGAAAGCTCCCCCAGAAGGTTGGGAGTTGATTGAACCTACTCTTGAGGAGCTGGAGCAAAAGATGAGGGAGGGTAAGCTTCTATTTAACTAGTTTTATTTTAATCATTCACAATCATAAAGAACCATACAAACAAACATACATTGAATTTATATATATAGATAAATGAAGGCCAAACCACAAGTCTTTAAGCCCAGTGATTTTGTTTATTAATTATTTCCAGTCGATCAATGTAGAGCCTAATAATTAGGCCTAGGCCTAGAATCTATTAAAAAGACGGTACTTAGTAAAACATATTAATTGTACTCCAACAGTGTAAAATTTTGATATAGGAAAAGGCCCAACGATTAGTTATTGGCTATACAGATTACTTGGCTGCACTTTACTTTAGGTCCTACACTCATTCGAATGAAAATATCGATCGATATATTGATTATTCGATATATCGTTTGGTTAGTTAGGCAAGGTTAACGTAACCTAACTAACCAAACGATATATCGAATGAACCAATCGAATACGAATACGGTAATCGATATTTTAATTCGAATGAGTGTAAGTTAGGACCTAAAAAGTGCAGCCGATTAGGTACTTATTTGTATAACTTAGGCCTATACCTGTTAAGTTGCATTAAGTTGGATAATTTGTCATAATAGGTAAGTTATTTCTCAGTAAGTAGGCCTATGCAGTAGCAGTACAGGATCTTCATAGGCTACATTATTTTACATGCTGCATCCGGAAATGCCATAAATTTTAGTTGAAAACTGCCTTATTTAATGAGTCTGTTAGTCAAAATCAAAGGTGACAAACAGCATTTAATTGAGTGGTTCCGATGCCAATAGTTATACAAAATATTCCTGCTTTTATTTCAGGTAGACTTCCGTATCTGTTTTCAAAAACAACTGAATGAAAATATCTATATTTCATTGAATATGGCGTTTCGTTAGTTAGGTTAACCTAATCAACCAAACGAGATAGGCCTATCGAATGAAGTAATCGATTTATCAAATAATTTTTCATTTTCATTCTTGTTTTTGACATCAGATACGGAAGTGTACCCTTTATTTCTCAACTAGGGTTTCATAATTATAGTAGCCTAATATTAATAATTCACAGTAACTTAACTTGTTATTGTTAGGCCTACTTAGTAGGCATGCCTGGCCTATTATTTAAGACTTATTTAGACTATTGTAACTTCAACCATTATTATTTCAGAAAAGTCTAGCCTACAGGAAATAGGCCTAACTTAAGTTTTTACAAGTGTATATATAAAAAATTATTTAAAGCAAAACATTAACTTTCCTAAATGACCGATGTCGTTACTTGAATTTCCATAAGTTGTAAATATATTTGAGCTAATAGGTGTAACTTATTAGTCTTCATATTCTACTCAATCATTCTTCCAACCAATTTCCTCACTCATCTTTTTATTACAGCTGAAACCGAACCTCATGAAGGCAAAAGGAAAGTGGAATCTCTATGGCCCATATTCAAGATTCATCATCAAAAATCTAGATATATATATGATCTATTTTATCGCCGGAAGGCCATAAGCAGAGGTAAGTTATTATTTGGGTAACATTGTTAGCTGAAATCACCCAATTTATAAAAGTAGCACCGTGGGCCTTACTATTGACTGATTTGAATCTTAGGATTGCTCAAAGTATCTTAGTATTATTATAAATAAATTATATTTTCCATTGCTTGTGATCAAGTTTTGATTAAGCAATTATTACCTAGTCTACATACTTGGGTTTAATTTCCGTTTACTCCATTAACATTAGTAGGTGCAGTTAAATGAATTCTACACATAACAATTTTAAAACAAAGAATTTTATATTTGCTTTCCTTCACAGCTTCATCTAAATAAGGCTGCAGTTTGTGTGTGGCAATTTCACACCAATAACAAACATATTAACATGTACAGTAGATTTCCTCTTATCCGGACTCCTCGTGACCGAGGCCAGTCCGGATAACGGTTTTTCCGGTTAAACTGACGTCACCAAAAACTCGTTAAAACGGACCAATTAAATGCATACTGTATACAGTATTTGACTTAAATTTAGGAGAGCAATGTATTTAGACACGTGATCCCTGGTCTCAAATCATTCCCACGAGAACAGCCATTTCAGTACCGCCCACTTTCTACCGATCTAGTCCGGTTAAATCGATGTGCTGATAAAACTTGTCCGGTTAAAGAGATGTAATTTCCGCCGAGTGCAGTCTGGTTAAACCGATTCCCGGTTAAAAGGTGTCCGGATAAGAGGGAGTCTACTGTATAACAAACGTATAAATAAACATTAAGAAGCTTCATTATGAATTTGAGCAACAGCCATTCTTCCTCCCAAAAAAAACTTACAATGTCTACTTAGTCACTGAAAAACAAAACCTTCCCGACAGAAAACCACCGCCCACCACCGCTTGAGCGAACACCATTTCCACAACGATACGTTGTAGGCCAACGGTCTCGGTGGTGTAGTGGATAGCGTCCCGGGCTAATGTTTCGAAGGTAGCCGGTTCGAAACCCATTGGAGCCACAACTAACTTTTTTATTAGATTTTTTCATCATCAGCAAGTTTGGTTAGGTTATGACAGTTTACTTTTATAATAAAAAAAAAATTATAATTGAATTTGAAGCATTATAATTTTATTTGATGAACAGAACTATTTTTTCAATTAGTAAACCTACATTCGATTTGTTCATTATCAGCATTTTTGGTTAGGTTATACTTACTTACTTACTGCTGGGGCGCTACAAATCGCAGTCGATTCTTCGCCTCGTAGATCAGCCTCTTCCACGCTTCTCTGTCCGTGGAAGAGGCTGATCTACGAGGCGAAGAATCGACTGCGATTTGGTTAGGTTATGACAGTTTAATTTTATAACTAAAAAATATAAAATTGAATTTGAGGCATTTAAAATTTTGTAGCGGACCGCTACAATAGCGCAAGTCACGTGACCACGATGCGCGCGCAGTCGACCCGGGTAGGCACGCGCAGCGAACCAAGAGACGAGTACAGTGTAGTGTCGAGCGCCTGGAGCTGTACATCTGATCGGATAAGTAGACTGTAGCCTAAGATGTCTAGCTAATAGAAGTAGGGGTTGGGGAAAGGGTGTAGGTTGGGGCAAAAAGTAATTCAATCATGTAGTTTATTAGGTTCTCGAAGGGTCGTGGTCTGGCAATTAATATCGTAAATTAGAATTCACATTTGCTAAGTCTAGTAACCTTTTTCACGAATTAGAATAAGTCCATATATATATATTTCTCTGTTCATTATATTATAATTAGATACATTAAGAACATAAAAGCTGGCTGTGATAGGCAGCTAAGGTAATATTGTGCACTTTGACGAGTTAGATTAATTCGTTGCAATTGAGTTAGGTTACGACAGGAAATGTGCGTGATTTGGCAGTGGTTAGAGGAAGATATATAGGGCCCAGGGATCTTCATTTACACTCATACTACACCACATCATCACATATTGGTAGCAGAGCGTCAAGATCCGGCCAAAAATGCAATTTTAACAGAAATAGAATAGATTAAAACGTGTCTCAGACCAGCCAGGTGCTTTGTTCAGACAGGAAATCGACAGGTTACAGGTCGGCACCACGTGGCGGCCTGGAACGCACGAGCATGCATAGCTAGGCACGTCATGAAATGTGAATCAATATCATTCAATTTATTTTATTTCCAAGGAAAATTTAAAAATCAATTTTAATGAGAATGTTTTAATTTCAAAGTAGAATTAGGAGAACCTTGATGTTTTTTA